CATCCTGAGCCTGTGCAAGAGGAGGGCATGGAGATTATGTGAGAGCTACACGCCCCTTAGGTGGGGGTAGCCTGTTTACAATGTAAGGGAGGGAAAGAGGCTGCAGGCCACGATTCCTCCCTTTTGCTCTGGCTGCTTTGCTGATCTGCTTTTTTTGCTCTGGCTGCTTTGCTGTTCCGCTGCCATGAACTGTTGCCCTCTGCCATGTGCCACTCTGCCTCGGAACTAGACAAGTATGGACTAAAACCTCCAAAAACTGTAAACTAAAAAAACCTTTCCTTCTTCCATTTTGGGTGTTGGGTATGTTGTCTCAGCAACGAGAGAAAAGTAACCAAGACACCTACCCGCCTCGCGCCGTCCTTAATGTGAAGCTCACTTGCTGAGTCCCGTGCCAGGCCCCTTCCTCTGCACAGAAGGTTCCTGTGACCTCTTGCCCCCCACATGAGGGAAGGCTTCCTGGGGCCAGCTGCCCACCCTGTCCCCTGAAGTCCAGGCATCCACCTTTTCTTAGAGGGACAGGAGCCTTCGGGACAGGCGAGACACTCGGCAGAGTCAAGACAGTGCACCCCCACCCGGACATGCTGTTTCCAGGGTGACACCTGCATGCCCGGGGAATCCACTTTATTGCAGTCAGCAGTGACTCCCCCATGCCCCAGACTTCGCCCCCTCGCTTCCTCCGTCCTCTGACTCTGCCCTCCTTCCACACCCACCTGCCCGCAGTGCCGAGAGCCGGCGCAGGACCATGCTGGGCCGGTGGGGATGAGCGGCAGGTGGGCGGGGAGACCCGCTGCCGACTTTGGAGCATGCGGCCCCCTGAGGCACGTGGTGTTTTTGTTTCTTCGCAGACATCGTCAACTGTGACCTGAAGTCCACGCTGCGAGTGCTGTACAACCTCTTCACCAAGTACCGGAACGTGGAATGAGGGCCCGGGCTGCCGCCGCCCGCCAGCTCTCGCTGCCAGCTCTCGCTGCAGGCGGACTGGGACCAGCCCCCAAGTCGCCTTTCCCTGCTTGTTCCTGTCCTCTGCTCTGCACTCTCCCACAAGCCCAGTGTTTGCACCCAGAGGTAGTTGGGGTTAGAATTGACATCAGGTAGAAAGTGACCAATAAATCTCTGGGCTGACCCCACCTCCCAGGCCCCGCGAACTGCCCCAGCAGTGACCCAAGAAAGCTGTCCCTGTGCGGGTGCCAGGCCCAGATTTCCCTCCATGTGGTTTGGAAATAAGCTCAGGCACAAGTGACTCCCCGGAAGGTGAAAATAAAGACCACAGTTACCATTAATGGGCATAAACTCTGTGAGGCACCATACTTACGTGTCCTGCCGCATTCAAACTCATTAACCCTCACGACTCCATGGCAGTTGATGTTACAATCTCCTCTGACAGGTGAGGAAACTGAGCCTCTCAGGTTGAGCGACTTGCCAGGAGTTGGCATTTGTTTGTCCTCTTTGAACAACATATTCATTAGTGACTGGTCAGTTACAGCACATGCTCTGCGCTTGCGCCTGCGCACACCCGGCATCTTCAAAGAAGACCGGAGCCCCTGATCTCACCATAAGGGCAGGCCAGGTCAGGGCTGATTCACGCTGAAATTGGTAAATTGAATTTAACCCAATTAATAGTGGGTGTGTGGCAGGAGTCATGTCCCTCAAATCCTTTGTACAAATGAAAATTACTCTTAATTCCTTCGGATTTATAATAACCCCGTACTGTGGTTTCACGGTGACATTTGGGAAGGATTCTGTTTAGAATTAATGGAGTGGCACATTTTGCAGCCTTTTTGCTTGATTGCATGTAATGGAAATGCCCTATATTTTCCTGCAAAATAAGTACTCAATTCATTATCGTTAGGCAAATGTACAATATACTCAGGCACACAGAGAGCTGGGCACAGGCTCGTATGAGCATCGCTTGGGAAGTAGGGCTCTTCAACGGAGACCCTTGAACTTTAAAGAAAGGAACTCCTCTCTGCCTTCTAATTGGTCATTTAGACCATTCTGGCTAAGTCTGCCCACATGCAATTACCAGCTAATTCAGGCAAGGAAAAAATGTAAGTCATTTAGACCAAAGCCAAGCAGTTCCTCTGCGTGGGTGACTGCAGGGCTTGTGGTTACTTGTATCTCCTGTATGTGAACTGGACTTTGAATTACAGAGCTCTCCTAATGCCAGGCTGCTGTTTGGTCCAGTAGGAAAAGGGATAGGGCTGAAGAGGGGTAGAGGGGCAGAACCTAGGGGAACAAGAAGTAGTGGGAAATATTTGCACGCTTAACATAGAGGACTAGCCTCGGTGACGAGAGAAGTGTGGCTTATGGTACTGAACACTTGTGCCCTAAAATTGACCAAGGCCTTGGGATAAATAATCATTGGTGCTGATAGTATATCTTCATTACAGAATTTTTATAAATACACCAGTTAAGTACAGCCTGTGTGGCCTCTTCCAGAACTGTGTGACTGCCTTGTCACTAAGCTCATCTCTGGTTTGAGGAATTTCTGCACAACCCAGAGTCAAGCCTCCAGTTGTCCAAAACATTCCTTTAGCTTTCTCATCAAGTCTTACTAGATTAGCTATCTGCAGTAATGCAGAACCCAGAGATTTCAATACACGGCATATTTCTTTGGATATTTTTGCTCTGAGAAAGAACTGTTATTCAGCATAATGAAAATTTATGATATAAAGGCAATGTACCATCTTGTGTCAATTTATGTACAAGAATGTAATTCTTTTCTACGTAATTAGTGAGATGTCATGTTTATCTTTGGGAAATACTAAATATTGGTATAATGTTTGTTGTTGCTCTCTTTTAAATGTCTAGTAGCAAATCAAGATAAAACATAGTTGCTTGATCTTCTTGAGTCATACAAAGTGGGATGAAATGATAGAAATGAATGCAGTCAAACACGCTTTGCTGTAGAAATCTTGTCTCCTTTTTTGTCATTTTCCCGTCACATTTAAGGTACAAATGTACAGGTCCCCTTATTAAGAGCACACCTTTTTTTAAAAAAAAAAAAATATATTTGCAGAATGAAAACACACTGGAACACATGGAAAGTTTTTAAATAACAGTTCTAATTTATCGGAAAATTGTGCTTCAGAGTAGGTCATTCCAGAATGAGGCTCTAGCTTTATCACGCTGTCCTCTCATCCGTGTAGACTCTGGAATCTCCCCCTGAAGACATGGCCTTGGTTGTGAAAGGAGAAGGTTGCAGCAGAAAACTTCATCTTCTTCTCCGGGGTGCAGGGGAGAAGAAACTGAAATAGGAATCAAGTCTCAGGCTGGAGGTGTAGTTCGGTGGTAGAGCTCTGGCCCACCCTCTATCTGTAAGGCCCTGAATTCAATCCCTGGCACTGCAAAAAAAGAAGTAGGTCTCTGAATATTTGTAGTACTGTTTTCTCTTCTAAATTTAAATTCACTATTATTTTTAATAGTTAATAAAAAAATAGTACAAAACCCAAAAGGCATAAATGGGTACCAGTGAGACATCTGAATCATCATTCCCCTCCCCCATCAGCCATGATTCTCAGCCGTTTTGATCATTTCTTATGCACACTTCTGGGGCTACTCCACGCAGATAAAGCCTGACCTACATATAGAATCTTTGGGTTTTCTAAAGAAAAAACATAAATAGTCTCCTATTCTTGCTGTCATGCGCACTGATTCCGGTGTTTTTTTTTTTTAATGTCATGTTTTATCTTGGTGATTGCTTTACATTGGTTATTTTTTAAAATCCTTATATATTTTTAAATGAAAGTGTCTGCACTCTGTAAACCCAAACGCACACCTCTAGTCTGCGGGAGCTACAAAGGCCAGCCCTGCCCGGGGAGAAGCGCCGCTACTGTGAGGTGCAGGGGTGCAGGCAGGAACGCGGGGGGCCTGGTACCAGAGGCATCTTTATATGCCTGGAACTGACTGTTTTCTCTTTGAAAACATTATGATCAACTCTGTGTAATTTTTTGTCTTTCTTTATGGTACTGGGGATGGAACCCAGGCCTTGTTCATGTTAAACACACATCTTAACACTAGCTATGTCCCTGACCCCAGCCCACTTGTGTGCAATTTGATTAAGGTTTCATTTTTACATATTACTAGGTCTACTGACCCATAATTGACTAAGAATACATTATGAAACTTAATGGGTACCCTGTAATACTGTGCTGGGAAGTCCAGCTGCCAGTCTCACAGAGTTTGTCTATTACAATCAAAGGCTCCAATTTCCTATGTGCAGGTAGAGTTGACATTTCCAGAGTCTGCTGGAGGAGCACACCAGTGGTGTTACCTTAAGTTGGTTGCAGTTTTCAACTGCTGCCACTGGGACTTTTTAATTATGAATTACTGTTAGCTTAGCTTTATCATTATCTGTTTATTTTGTTGTGGGTTACTTGGTTAACCCTACAGAATATATTGAAGCTTATTTGCATCAACAGTATTCCAGGGCTATAATTTTCCAATAACTAGTCTCTATGACATGTATACATTGTGGTTCCATTGTGAACCGTTCTACTCCAGCGCTAGAGCAAATGTATACATAATCCACTCCCTCCAAATTGCCGCTAATTTATTTTTCCATTGGAAAATAAGATAGATGGAGTCAGTAAGTCAACCAGTTTTGCCCTGCCTAAGTGGAGACAGATTAAAAATAATTCGGGATCCACAGCCTTAATACAGCCCCACTTCAGGAATCCTAGCTATATACTACATCCTATTTGTGCAAGATGGACATGTCCTGAAATCTTCACTAGTTCCAAGACTGCATGTCGCTTCCCCCATAAAGTTCATTTAGGTCTATTGGGAATTTCAAGAGAGTTGCTGCAGATACTGAGAACAAGAGAACTACACTGAGATGCAATGCTGGGTCATAGGTTAACGCTCATCAACTAAGGATCCTATCTCCACGCACCAGCTTCCCAGATACTTGCAGAGTTAAGTCTTACTGAAAGAGAAGTCAGTGTGAGTTGATCACATCTGTAAGTGCAAAAGTTACATCCACAAACACTAAGTCTCTGCTTTTTTTTTTCCTCTGAAAAAATATAAGCCTGGGCTAGCTTCAAAATTTGCTTATGGCCCTGTCTTTCCTGAAGTGGCAGCAGCATATGTGGACGTGTGCATATGTGCTCACAGCAGCAGTGCTCTTGATGGTGCTCAAAGCAGGATCCGTCGCCCCCAAACCAAGCCTGAACACCCTGAGAACTTCAGGCTTCCCAGGTAGGAAGCTGCCAGTCAAGCGTCGCTTAAAGTCCATTCTGTAGGATATTAATAAACATGAGGTGGAAACTGTTACACTCAAGTTTGAGAACAAAGGAGCTAGCTTTCCCCAATTTGGGTTTGGCTTTTGTTTTCTAACTGGAGCCCATCTCAGAGTTCCCTACACTAACAAATATCAGTATTCCTAAAGGAAAAAAGGAATAAGGGACCCAGAGACAGGGTTCCTACCTTGTTTGACCATGGGATCCGTTTGTCCCTTGAGAGATGGTGAGGATGAGTGCTCTGTGGCACTCACTCACTCATTCAGCAAGAATGTTCTGGGTGGCAACACAGTCTAGAAAAGGGGACACACACAGGCTAGTGTAGTGATGGCGAGCCTATGGCATGTGTGCCACAGCAGGCTGTTTGTATCATTGAAAGATTTAAAAGGTTTGCCATCACCGGCCTAGTGTTACAAATTGCATACAGTCTGCCCTCCATGCACGAATTCTGCATCCACAGATCCAATCCACCACAGATCAAAGTGTCTGAACATGTCCCAACTTTTCCTATCATTCTGCCCTGACCAATACAGTATAATAACTATTCGCATAGCATTACAGTGTATTAGGAATTAGAAGTCACCTAGAGATAAAGTATAGGGAAGGAGGATTGCTCAGGTTATATGCAAATGCTACTCCATTTTATACCAGGAACTTGGGTAGATGCAGATTTGGGTAACAGGGTAGTCTAGAGCCAGCCCTCCCAAGGCTGCATACAGGGCAGGGACTCCCAAGCCACACCAAGCGCTCTGCATGTCACACTCGGAGACTGAACAAGGCTGAAAGAGGACTACCAAGGGTATCCATGCTGCCAAGTTTCTCACAACAGAGGATGCTAGCCCTATCCCTGTGTGGGTCCCACAGCAGACACAAAAGATGCTGTTGTCAGCCTGTGTGTAGTGGAAGGTCCAGTTGTCTGTTGGTATCCAGCTCCAGGATCTCCTGCACATAACAAAATCTGCAGATGCTCAAGTCCCTTCTGTAAAGTAGCATAGCTGCTGAACACAGTGGTGTAACACTGCAATCCTACCTACTCTGGAGGCTGAGACAGGAGGATTGCAAGTTCAAGGCCAGTCTGGACAACTTAGCAAGACCCTGTTTTATATAAAACACACCAACAGGTAAGCATCTTTCAAAGGTAGTTTTATTTTGGGGGGAGCTTTGAAGTGCCAGAAGTATCTTGGGGATCCCTAGTCAAGAGCCCCTTGCTGGAAGCCAGTGGGTGGCTGCCCAAGATGGATGCTTCTCCTAGGTGGCCCCATGACCTGAGCAAGCTCACTCTTGCTTCAGCTTCCCTGAACCTCTGTCTGTGGGTGAACACTAGCTGCCATGCTGGCATTTGAAAGGAAGGCACTCGGGAAATTCTGAGAAGCACAATGATCAAAAGAAATAGTGTTGTATCAATGAGACAGACTTTTCATTTCTTTGTATTGATTTTCATGTTTTCACATCTTCAGATGTGATTGGTTAGCCCAAGGCGGCATTCCAAGACACACAAATGTCATTAAGGCAACTGCTTTAAACAGTGTGATGTTCTATTGAGGTGGACAGGACAATAGATAAATATTTAATCCGTTGCACGTCCACTCGTTATGGGAGTAAGGGCGTGGGCTGCACAGCTCTGCGGCTCTGCTGTGGCTTCCTGGAAACCTTGGAGATGGCCTTGCTGCCTGCCTGTAGAAACACAGTGCCTGCCTTGGCAAATATTTATCGGTGTCTCTGAAAGTGGCTCCTGGAAGCCTCTCCTTGCTTGGGCTGCAAGAGTCATCCCATATCTTCCCTTACTTGTTCCAATATTGGAGAATATAAACTCTCCCTAGACTGGAGGTCTTTGCAGTAAAATAACGAACAGTGAGGTGATGAATAGCAGTACAGTCACGGGAGGCTGTGGACTCTCTTCTTTCTCTCCACCTCTTCTCCATCTTGAGCTCTCTGCTCAATTCAGCATACTTAGAGAGCCGTTGTATTCCCTGCCTCACCTGAACCCGTACGGTGTACATCATCAGCTCTCCCTACTAACTCCCACAATGTGCTGCTGTCCTGTGTTGGAATCATGTGCTGTCCAGACCCATGACCAAGCTGTCATTGCCTGTGAGAAGCCAAGCTCACCACCAATGGCTCCAATCAAGAGGTCTGCTCAGATAGCTTTGGTTTATAAAATTCAACCATCCATATGTTTTCATTTGAAGACTGCAGGGCTTTCTGACATGCTTGCTTTCAGGGAGCTTTGTCAGTACAATGAGAGTTTTTTCTTTCCTTTTCATGAAGATTCCAATCCCCGCATGAAGTGTTCTCACTTGCAGCAGTGTTATTGTTTATGTCTGAATGAACCCCAAAACCTCACGCAGCCATGGGACTGGCTTCTAGAGTTTATGATTGATCCATGGCCCGATGCTGGGCTTGTGGGTGTGAGTGCTACACCTGCCCTGGGGAGGGTAGTTTGCATACAATGTAAGGGAGGGAAAGAGGCTGCTTGCCTCTGCCCCTCCCCCTTGTGCTCTTGCTGCTTTTGCTGTCTTTCGCAGCCATAAACTGTTGCCACTCTGCCTTAGAACCAGCTAAATATAGACTAAAACCACCACAAACTGTGAGCTAAATAAACCTTTCCTTCCTAAATTTCGGGCATCAGGTATTTTGTCTCAACAATTAAAAAAAGTAATCAAGACAAGCAGCATGGGGCTGCCTACCACTGATGAAGTTGGGCTCCACCCATGAGGGGACAGGAAGGATTCCAGCCCACACAACCATGGCCAAGTCATGCAATCAAGTCAGGGAA